TATTATTATTATTATTATTATTTGAGACAGGGTTTTTTGCTGAACCTACAGCTCACTCATTCAGCTGGGCTGGCTGTTCAGTGAGCTCCTGGGATCCACATGCCTCTGCCCTACGAGTGTTGCTGGGCCTTGCTTTCTGCTGGAGTTACAGAGCCGTGAACCACCACAGGAGTGCCAGGATTCGAACCCGGGTCCTCTGAAAGAGCAATACAGGTTCTTAACTGCTGAGCTGTCTCTTTGGCCCTTGGCCCACACAATCGGTTTTATGAAATGCTTCAGATGGAGACCAGGGCTCTGTGCACACTGGGCAGGCACTCTACCAACCGACCATAGCCCCCACCCCACCAAAGAAGAGTGTGGCTTTTCAAATGGAGTCTGAACAATCCCTCTCAGCCCTCCAAGGAAACCACAATAGACATTTAGTCTCCATATCAACAACCGAAAGCCCCAGAGCCTCGCCTCTCCTCCACCTGGCCAGCTGCTTGGACAACGACTTCAGGTCCCCCCAGTGAACCATAAATTCAGCCCCGCTTTCTAATTCAAAGATGCTCATGTGCGGCATAAATCAGAGGGGAGTGGGAGAAAGGGACACACTCACCACAGTCTCAGAGACGGCCAGGTTGACCTACTCTGTCTGCATTAAATACAGCTCTGGCATGGTTCAAAGAAATGAAAACACCTTCCCAAGACAGAAAAACTTCCTAAACAGCAAGCTTATTGATTTTTTTTTTTGAATTTGCTTTAGTTTACATAAGCTTTTCATATATAAGCCGCTGTGGTCATAAATGTCTAACCGGCTCCCAGGATCTGAAACATAATCAAGGATCCCATTACCTGGCGCTCCATGACTCTGATTCCTCCATAATTTTCATTCCCATTTGTAGTCTCTGCCAGACAATAAAGTCGATTCCCCTCCAAACCCTTCCCCAAATGGTTAGATCATTATCAGTCCATTTGTAGGCTGACTCCCATTTACAATTCTCCTGGAACTCCAGCCAATGGCAGTTAAGACAACTCAAAAGCACTTCAGATGGGAGGCCCTTCGCCAAAGCCTTGACCTTATTTGTTCTTAGACCTTGAAAACAATTGCCATGATTTTTCCAGCAATTTTCAATTCAAGTAAACTTGATTTGTTCCCTAAACAGGACTGTGGTCCCTCTCAGTGACAAGATGAAGGGAGGGAGAGGCCCTGGACAAGATGACTATGATTATAAGGGACGGGAGGAGCATTCTGAGAAGGGAGATGAGATGGTGCAGACAGAAGAAACCGACATTCACAAAGTCCGGCCCACAGCTAGGGGCGGATGGTGAATCTGAAGCCTTCTTTGCATGTACACAACAGTTCAGAAACCAGCGCTCCATCCACTGTGAGCCACGGTGGTCCACCAGGGGCGTTTAGTGTAGGGTAGGTGGGTGAGGCGCCCTTCCTCATCTGTCACACGGGTCACCCGTGACTCCCCTCTAACAAAAGACGGATTAGAGGGAGAGAGAAGCATGGCAGATTTATTTCAGCCAACTTTTGGGTGGTCAAGGAGTCTTCAGAAGGAAGACCTAGATACAAAGACCTAGGGAAAATTGGTTACTTTCATGTTTAGGTCTGAGGACAGCTTTCCAGAAATGTGACCGGGCCAAAGAAATGGTCCGCTATGACAGCCTGGGTAGGGACACTCAGCAGTGGGTGCCCACATTCCTCTTTGTGGCATCCCTTCCACCGGTGTGGGGGACACCTCTTCTGCAGAGAAGGTCTCAGGATCCAGCAGTCAAGGCAAAGCAGAGAACTCTTTACGGTAACTGAGGGACCAGTTCTAAGTTTCAGGAGCGGCATTGGAGAGAGGGAAGTAGGAGGAGGAAAGGAGCAGGATAAAGCTAGAAAGACAACTTTTCTCCCCTGTGGCTTCCCAATGTCCTGTGGCTCGAAATGCGCAGCAAGCAGGGGACAGCGCCGCCGCCGTGCTTTGAAAACCTTCCTGCTCCAGCAGTAGACATGCTGACGCACACTCACGACGGCCAGAACTTCCCTCACGGCAGAGCCAGGGGAGGCAGTTCCCATTCCTCACATCCGTAGAGATCATCGCCAGCCACTCAGAGACCTGGGGGTCCATCTCACCCTGACTTTACACGGCCTGTGAGCTACTGAGCCCTGTGGACTCCACCCCATTAACACCCAGGGTGCCTGTCCCTGCCCTAGCACCTCCAGGCTCTGGCCTAGACTCAGGAATTTTAAATTGGCCGTGAGCCTCGGTGCCTTCCGTCATGTCAGTCTGTTCTGCACGTGCCGGCCACACCTGCCCTTCCCACGGCCGAGCCCCCACAGGAGGTGCTCGGCAAAGAGCCAAACATGGATTCCCTCTCAGTGGATTATTATTCTCCCCACCTACACCTCACCCTTTCAAGCTCTCTGGATCGTTCTGGTTTTCTCTGACAGGGTCCCGGTATGTACTCCCTCAGTGACTTTGCTCTGTTGGCCTGTAATTATTCTAAGGTCAGAGCTGTGTTTGTCTATACATGTGGTGATATTTTATTCGTGCACCCCAATAAAGCTTATCTGAAGATTAGAGGAAAAAGCCAGCTACTATATTAAACATAGAGGTCAGGCAGTGGTAGCACATGCCTTTAATCTTAGCATTCTGGAGGCAGAGATCCATCTGGACCTCTGTGAGTTCAAGGCCACACTGGGGAATAGAGCCAGGTGTGGTGGCACATGCCTTTAGTCCCAGCACTAACCATGGAGGTCTGGAGGCCTGTACAGACAGACAGGAAGTGATGTAGCTAGGTGGAGAGAAGAAGTAAGAGAGCAGGGACAGAAAAGCATATAGGTGTGGGTATATAGGAAGTAGGCCTCTCTTTGGCTAAGGATTTCTAATGGTAAGAACATGGCTGGCTTCCTTTTGCTTCCCTGATCTCAGGTTTTACCCCAATATTTGGCTCCAGGTTTTTTATTAATAAGACCGTTTAGCAATTCATCTTACATATACATGTCCTTATCTTGGAGCAACTTGGAGAAAAACCAAAACCTACGCCACAGGATAATGATTATTTAAACGAGTTAATGCAAGGTGAGACTTAGCCTAGAAACTAGCATATGCCAGGGAGGTGCCAACCTTGCTTATAATAATAGTAAATAGCATTGTGCTTACAACAAAGTGTGTACTTGGATCAGCAAGGTGGCCAAGGGCAGGAAGGCGACATCAGGATACCCAGTTCAGTCACAGCAGTTAAATGGTTCAAGGAGAGACCCTGTACTGCTAACAGTGTTTCCTGATGCCACACGCAGGCTCTGGCACACACATGCCCATATCTACAATCATATGCAATAAACACATCAAAATGCAATAATTTCATAAAGTATTTGCTCCACAAACACATGCAGAATGGATTGGTCAATGAAAGAATTCACCAACCCAGGTCCTGCCCCCATTTTCTCTCAGCCAGCTGCAGTCTGTACTAGAACATGGTAGAACTGTGTGGAAATCAGTGCCAGAGAGGAACAAGCAATCCTTACTGTTCTTCTGTGCCCACCGTGAACAGTAAACCACATTTTTGTTTCCCATGGGTCTTGGAACCCACATTACTGTGCTGTGAAGAACTCACTGAGGCAAGACGATGTGGAATTAAAAGACACAGAGATATTACACACCCACCTCCATGGTACTGGATATTGTCTTTGATAACTAAAGTGTGCTACTTAGAAAGCCTATCATGCAGCACTTGGGAGGCAGAGCCAGGCAGATCGCTATGGATTCGAGGCCACCCTGGTCTACAGAGCGAGGTCCAGGACAGGCACCAAAACTACACAGAGAAATCCAGTCTCAATGCCGCACCCCTCCCCGCCCCCCCAAAAAAATAAAGCCTATTCTGCTTTCATTTCTGTTGTAAAATATCCTGGTCAAAAGCAACACAGGGGAGGGAGAGTTTACTTCTTCATAATTCCAGCATGTTACTGTGGGGAAGTTGAGGCAGGCATGGAAAGTGCCATGCCCACTGCCAGGAGCAGGGAGAACAAATGTGTGGATTCTGGCTCGCTCACTCAGTTTTCTTCAGAACTCTTATACAGTCCAAAACTCAGACCAAGAACCAATACTCCCCATGTTCAAGGCCAGTCCTCCCACTTCAAAAGTACATCTCTGTAGTGCTGAGGGAGCACATACTAGAAACAACGCCAGAGAACTCAAGACAAGCCCTCACAGTCATCCCCACAGGGCCGACAGGAACACGGTGTAAGCCTATCATACAGGCCAACCCAACGCAGACAAGTCCTCAACTGAGGACTTCTTCCCAGGTCATGCTTGGTTGTAGCAAGTTGATAAATAAAACTAAGTGGCATGACACCAGGCTTGCACGTGATTCCCAGGCTCCTAGCAAATATGTACACGGAATGCTATCTTACATGGCTAACATGGGGTGCCCTCCAGCCCTCTGTACTTCAGGTTCCTCAGCGTCCAGGCCGGGTCAGTCATTGGCCTCCACAACATGCTGGTCTACAAACAACCGATGCACACAAAGGATCCTGGGCATCTAGTGAGTTCTTTAGAAGATGTACCAACATCTCCATCAAAAGCTAGAAAAGGAAAATGTGCCTATGGATGAGCCCAGCCCTGAAATCCTAAGATCTCATAGCTTTGCCAAGGTATCGGTCTTTGACAAGGCTGCACTGTTTGAAAGTTATTTGGCTGTCAACAGCTTACTTGGGTTTAGATAACATCATCACACTGGTGCCACAACAAGAACCTCATTCTTTCTTCCCTGTCACAGGAAGGGCTTTCTTCCCCTCCTCAGAAGCTGGCATCTCTACTTGTGCCCAGATCCATCTCACCCCACATCCATCGCCGTCACAATATACTCATTCACTTATGAATTTGGGAAACAGGCATTTCATTTGAAAAAACAATAACTCCAACAAGCACATCATCAGAAACTTGCTCTTTGTACAGTTCAGACAACAGGGTATGATGTGGAACCCATCATAGGTGATGAAGAATGCTGGAATGTAGTCCACCTACCTGTTTTTTTGTGGAGCAAACTGGAGCTGTGCCTGTAGATGCTATGGTCCTGGCTCAGGACTGAGGAGACGGAGGTGCTCTGACTTGCTGGGCTCTTAGAAATGAAGGGTGAGTTCTGTGGTGTCCTGGCCTCATTCTTCTCCATGCTAGATAGGTACAGGGCATCCTGAGTTTTCTTCTTTTCCTTTTTTAACATGTTGACCAGGATATCTGAAATCTGATTTAAGGATCTAGTGGCTCCCGAGAGATGATCATGATCAGACAAAAATTAAAAAAGAAATTATTATCCTCCACCCAAGTAATTGCAACTAGTGCACTTGGTGCAGGCTGGCCACAGGAATGTAGCAACTCCTTGAATTTGCATGTGCAGCTGTGGACACCTTAGGACGGAATCAGCCTTTGATGGTGGCACAATGAAAACTATCAAACTGAAGATCTTTTAAATACTGGGTAGTGTTTGTGTGAAAAAGTAGAAATGGGAGCCTGGTGGAGTGTTTGCTTAGTGAGCACAAACCCCTGAGTTCAGCTGAGTACCACATTAAGCCAGGTAGTGTAGCGCATGCCTAGAATCCCAACACTCTGAGGTAGAAGGAGGAGCAGAAATTCAAGGACACTGTTGTCAATTTAATGACTTTGGGGGCATCCTGGGCTACATGAGACCCTGTCTTCTTTTCAGGACCCATGCAAAAGGCTGAGCACAGAGGGTGGAGATGCTTGTCACCAGTGCTGGGGGATGGGGAAAGGCCTGCAACTGAGGTTTTCTGGCCACTGTGACCAGTCAAATTGGCAATCTCCAAGTTCAGTGAGAGACTCTGCCTCAAAATATAAGGTGGAGAGTGACTGAGGAAGACACCCAATATCAACCTTTGGCATGCAGGAGAGCATGGGTGCACATGCACACTTACACACAGGACTGACTCTTAGAAAACACAGCAATAGCATGGGAAAGAAGACTGCCACTAGGAACTGAGGGGGATTAGCCTGGTTTACACATGTTTTTGAGCATGTAACATGGAAACAATCTGATTTCCATATTCCTCCTCAGATTTAACTTCAACTTGTTGATTTCTGGATGCCCAATGAGTTTTTCTATCAGAATACCCAATGCGCCTTCCATTCCTTCTTGCTTCATTAAAATGTCTTTTCCAGAGGTGGTCACAGCATCTCAGTGTGTCTCTGTTCTTGCTTCCCATTATGTGGGTTCCAGGTGTTGAACTCACGTTGTCAGGCTTGGCAGCAAGTGGTTTTACCCACTGAAGCTTCTCACTGGCCCCTCTCTCTCCTCCCACGAAGGAGGTAACCTCATGTGACTGACTCACAGTGTGAAGCTCCTAGTGTGAACAGCCTACACGACTCAGCACAGTGAAGACAAGGGGGCGGGTGCACGTATCACACTTTTCTATAAACACACGCAAGCCAGCCTGGACCGGTCCCTCTCTGTCACATCTCATTTCATTCTTCCTCAATACATAGACGTTCATAAACCACGTTGAGTACTGAGAGGTTGGTAGGAGTTTTTAGGGGGAGATCCCAGTCCAGGATCAAGGCCAAGAAAAGAAACAGCACAGACTGGGGGAGGGCCAGGCCCGAAGCCGTCCCTGGAGACGGATGGGGTAAGAGGAAGGGAAGGAATGTAGGGTGACAGCAGTGTGGCCAGCACTTGGAGACAAGGTGTGCGTGGGGGTGTGAGTCACAGTCAGACTTGCCGCTGCTGGATAATAAAGGAGCCAAAACTGACTTGACTCTGACAGGGGCCTGCTAAGACTCAACTCAAATCAGAGACTGAGGCTAATGAGGCATTCATCTGCTTTGTTTGGACTGGTTTCCACCTCTTTACCAGTGGTTTTTCTTTGTGTGATTCTTTGTGTATATGTAAGCTTCCCCCCC